TTATTCGTCTTCCTTTTTGTTCAATCAGTATGAAAGAGAAAAAGAGGACGCAATTATTCGCTGGGGTGAGAATTTTTTGTTTTTGTTTGTATTGCATTTATATGTGGAGGAATCGAAAAACATTTGATTGGTCTATTTCTTCGCGCATTACAGAAAAGGAAGAAAGAGAAAAAAAAACAAATTGTTTATAGCTACGTATCAGAGATGTCCATCGCGGCGCTGCCGCGCCGCTGCCGCTGCCGCGATGGCCTGTGGCGGCAGCGGCAGCGGCAGGTTTTTTAAAAAATCACCGCGGCAGCGGCGCGGTAGCGGTAGATTTTTTAAAAATCATCGCGGCAGCGGCGCGGTAGCGGCAGGTTTTTTAAAAGACCATCGCGGCAGCGGCGCGGCAGCGGCAGGATTTGTTTGGGGAACATTGAAAAACTGCAGGAATTTAATAGAATTTCAGGGTTTACAAATGAAACACCCCGAGACTGAATGAATCTGATGGTCTAGTACCAATATCTCTGGTCAAATATAGCCGCAGCAGTGAAATTAGAAACACTTTTTTGTAAACCGCCGCGGCAGCGGCGCGGCGGCGGCACGTTTATTTTATAATTCATCGCGGCAGCGGCGCGGCAACGTTTTTTTTATAAGCTATCGCGGCGCGGTAGCGCCGCGGCAACATTTTTTTATAAACCATCGCGGCGCGGCTGCGGTGCGGCAGCTTTTTTTTTCTAAGGCCGCGGCGCGGCAGCGGCAGATTTTCAGCCGCGATGGACATCTCTGCTACGTATGTCTTATACATATATGAACAGAAAAGGAAAAAAAAGTAATTGACTCTTTTATATCGATGAACAGGGTGCACAGAACGAAAGAGGGAGTGTTAATCTAATGTAGATTTTTTTCCTTCTCTTGATGATGCGCATATGTTTTTAAATTTTTTTATTTTGTGACAATTTATTCCAAGCAATAAATTTAAATAATAACAAAAAGAAATTCATAAAAAAAAATGATTGTATGCATTAAAATAATTTTGGTTGTTGCGCATTCTAAAATATTCTTTTTCATAAAAAAAAAAATATAAATAAATTAATGAAATGATAATGATTAATTTTATTATATGCCCACAAATGTACACGTCAATAAATAAAAATATGTAACATTAAAAATATCGGTCAAATACAACTGAATTAATTTGACTGGACTAGATTCTTATCGACAACTGGACATTAGATATTTAATCAATACATTAATATCAAAAGAAGTTGAATTCTCTTTAAATAAACAAAAACCAATTTCAAACATTTTTTTCAAGACCATCAAATTAATATCAAATGAAATGAGCATTAAAATTAATTAAAGAATCTATAAAAAAAAAGGAGAGAGAGAAAATTGTGAAATTGTTCAGTGAAAAATTCTACCGTCACAAGTCAAGCTTCATAAAAAAAAATATAATTTTCACATAATAAAAGAAATTCGATCATAAATTAACAAATAGAACTTTCTAAGAAAAAAAAAATAACAACATATCTAAGGTGAATTCTCGTTTCGTCGAAACGCTAATTGATTTTCTTGTTTCGTCGAAAAATTTGTTAGAGCTTTTTCCATAGTGTTCTCGTTTCGTCGAAAATAAAATTACGACTGTTCTCGTTTCGTCGAAAAATTAAATTGTAATGAAAAAAGCAGGATCAAAGCAACTAGCTTAATTGCTTTGATTGTCTTCAGCAATATGTTTTCTAAAGAAACTGATTAAGAGTGTGGGTGAGCGTTAGAATGAGGGTATTCTGTTCGCTCAAACCTATATTCACTCCCACACCCACACACATTCTAAACATCAAATATTAACATTAGAAGAATATCTTGAAAAAGTTATGCGATTAATTGGTATTAAAAAATTCTGAATGATTTTTCTTATGTCTTCTTGTTCAATATAATGCGTGTATTTATTACAATCTTCTCAAATAAGCTCTTTCAACAGATTCATTGAGTATCATTCTATTTAAAAGTCTATTCAAGAGAATCATAGAATTTATGATAAGCTAATTATGTTTATTATATTTTCATTTCATTTATGCTTTTCGACGAAACGAGAACAGTCGTTTTTTCATTTTCGACGAAACAAGAATGGATGAAAAATTTATTTTCGACGAAACGAGAAAATCAATTAGCGTTTCGACGAAACGAGAACTAACCATATTAACATTATTGAAATTTCATTAGAAAATGTGTCGATTGAGATCTCCACCACAAATTCGTGTAGTAAGTAAATTATTAAAATACTGACATGCGAGAGAATCAATACATTTTCATAATAGTAGTATACAACGATGTAAAAGATTTTCATCTTCCATATTTTAATCGAATAGTCTTTTGTGTTATTATATTTCTTTATTTATTAAATATGACAAATAATATTGCTTTTTTTTTTTAGTTTTATATTGTTAATCCAACTGTCGATCAAATTAATCTCTTGAACAACGACAATCAGGCAAATATTCCACAAGAAAATCCTGAAAGTGAATTAATGAATTTTAAATAAAATTATATATTAAACAATTTGTATAAAACTATTTTACTTTAGATGATACTCCACCAATGATATTGCTCAAAATCGAAATGATTAAATTAATCAAAAGTTGCATAAATATTGGATGTCTTTTGTTCAAGGTATTCAAACAATATATAACTCGTCGTCGTTAGTTTACATAATGTTCTGATAAACAATGTATTTTTTTTGTTAATATATCTATTCAAGAAATTAAAACAAAGAAATAAAAAGATAAAGAAGAAATAAATAAATAAATAGATCATGAATAAGATGATTTCTTTGCAGCAGAATGCTGCTAACATTTTTTATTTTATTTTTTTTAAGAAAAACAAGATAACAACGAAGTTTTTTTCGTTATTGTTGAACAATCAACAATATGTTTTATATCTTTCATATCTAGAAAATATTTCGATGATTTTAAACATACTTGATATTTTATTAAAGTAGATATAAAATTATCAGCAATCGATGCATGCAATGATTCTAAATTAAAAAACAAATACACTTAACTGAAAACGAAAATCAAAACAAATCCTACGTTTCATTTTTTAATCGCTGTATGAATAACAGAAGACAATCAAATTCTAATAATTGTACTTGATTATCAATTAATACTAAACATAGACCAATATTTAGAATAATCAACGATAATATCATTAAACATTCATTAGAACTAATAGAATAATTAATAATTTAAATATCTGTTCATTGATTCTAAATTTTTCTTAACCAATTTTTGGCAATAACTTGTAACCAAAGAAATCCATAATCAAATAAAAGTGACATTAATACATCCTGAAGTTTACTTCTAGAATAAAATATATTAAGAATTTCAAGCTAAATAACATACAAAACAATCAGTATATAGAAAAAGTATGAAATAAAAAGAAAAAACAAACTTTTGTTGAATCATCACATAATGAACAATCATAAAATGTCATTAATGTTCTAAACACATATGCTTTTGTATATAATATATAATCAATTGAATCTTTCATACTATGTTTTAATAAATTTAATATCCATTCACGTTTATATTTATATTATCAATATATCAAATAAAAATTTGAAAAAAAAAACACAAACTTCAATTGTTGAATTATGAAATAGTTCGCTAAAAAAGTTGAATATGAACAAGATTGATGTATGGTTATTTAAGAAGAAATCTTGTTATTGTTCGATACAATTTCGATTCTAAATATTTGATATTTAGCAAAAAAAAATTTTTTTTTTTAAAATACAATCGAAAAAGATTAGTACCTAGATGAGCAAATAAATCAACTAATTTTGATAGGAATAATGCAACGATGAGTGCTAATTTTAAAATTCGATTTCTTAATACGTTGCTTTAATAATGTAAGCATTCTGAATATTTTTGTTCTTTACAATAAAATCTTTGTCATATTAAATGTTGTTCAAAACGAGCAAGACAATTGTAAATAACAGCTCGTAATAAACTACATCGTGAACTTAATGCCATAAGACAATAAGCAAAAGAATATTTTTCAACAAATTGTTGACATTTTACTATGCATTCTAAAATAAATATTCAATTAAAATTTTAAGTTCACAGTAAAAATTCTTGATTGAAACATCAGATTATTCAAGTTTAGTCATATGACTTATTCAGAATTAAAGTGACAACGTTTTGAATCTTCGTAGAATTCGAACTACATACCTTCTCCTATATCGATAAAAATCCTAAGGTAGTTAGACTAGAAATGACTTCGAATTTTTGTTTCAAGCTCAGAGTAGAAAATTATAAATATAATATAGATGCATTATGTCAATATGAAAAACTCAAAAAGAAAAGTTTTTATTTAAGTCGATATTCAGAATTATATCTATGGTTACTTCTGTAGCGGTCTTGACTGTCTTTAATTTCTTGATTAGGTCTACGAGTAATTTAAAAGAAGAAAATAAAGTTTTTCTAAAAGCATACTAAAAATTCGATAGCTGTTCGGGAAAAAAACATTGGTTTTCGTGGTTGTCGATTAAAAGGATACGTGAATCTATGGTTCTAGTAAAGTTTTCAGTCTTCTCATGAAGTAAATAGACCAGATATACTATCCAACAGCATTCCTAACTATCAATGAAATGTGATGCCCATTAGTGAATCAACATGTCTATAGGTAATCCACTACTTTTCTCTTTCGACTAAAGGACCCAGCAGGATACGACTAGACATCTGCCACCTCCAACATCAAATTTTGATATTATTATTTTGTACCCCTTGAACATTATATCACATTTATTCACTTCAGTTTTTCCAAAAGAATTCGTCGTTGTTGAGTTAGGCCTTCATCTTTATGACTAAGTAATGAAGTAAAATTTTGACTCTTGAAGCGCACTTTTCTCTGCCATAAAAAAAGGATTTTTGAAAATTCTAATTACATATTTAGAATTAGCATTAAAGATTCTATCATCCTAGATAACT